TATTACGTACTCAACTATATCATGGCACGTGTATTACACGTGCTTCTGACTAGTACTTTCTTAAAGGGTATTACAAAACAAAGAGGAAAATAGTTATACGAAAATCCAATGGAATAGAGGTTAGTTAATGCACCATAAAAGCATGTTTGGCATACATATAGGACAATACAATAGTAGGATTTTTGTTATTCTTATCTTTTTCTTGATGCTGTCATGTCCACATTATCAAACATGCGTTAAATATAATATATATTATTTATTCAACATTATCTTCCCCTTTTCCTATACATTCAAATATACAAATTATAATGCTTCCGCTGTGTAGTGCTCTCTTCCTCTTAAAACGAGAGAATCGACAAATTTTCCTTCAATATATAATAATACCGCACAAATTTCCTCATATATTTTGGTGGAATTGGTTATTCCTTACCTCATGACCAAATTGGTTATTGGACAGTGAATTGAAGCTATCCCGTAACAGGATCGTCTTTGGTAGAATTATTGGGCAAAAGTACTAGTGTTGGCCAATCCACTTAGACTCATTTTTTTAGTTTACAGACTTTTGTGTTGCAACTTCTTACTGTGTATTTATATTAATGCACATTCTAATGATGCGTAAACAAGGTATTTTCCTTATGTTGTACAAAGAAGATGAGCTTTTCCTGCATGTCACATCTAAATGTTAGCATTCTCTGTCTTTCCCGTCCCTTCCTCTTGAACCAAAGAGAACCGACGATTTTTTCCTTCTTTAATTTTCATTCAATTTAAACTAGACACTTCTTGGTTAACCAATTTGTTCCATCATGGTGTATTAAGCAATCTCCTTTAAACCACATAACTTGTACATTATTGACAACCTATTCTTATCAAATGCTCATTTAGCATGTTTGCTAAAGTGGACTAGATGGTATTTAATATTAATAACTAAAAAAAAAAAGTTAAAATTTTGTACAAAACTCAAGTCTAATAATAGATATCAAACATGCACTTTAAGTATTCACAATATTTGCTCTACTTCTAGAAATGAGTACACATGATGTGAACCCACATAGCAATTGAAGTTACGAAACCCACACAAGATTGATTCAATCCCAAAAAAACCAAAAATTAATGTTTAAGCTTGATTAAAAAATATTGAACCAAAGAACCAACACAATCGTCGACAATATGTTGACCCCGCGATTACAAGACTCAAGAATTTTACTCGATTTGTTTGAACGCCACAAGAAATAATCTTGATAAGTTTAAAATTACTTGGATAAAGAACAAAAAGAAAACAATAATGTCTTGCAATTAATCTCTCAATAATTGTGTATTTTTATAAAGAAACAATAACCTTATTTATATGGAATCCCTAAAACCCTAGTAAAAACAGAATTAAATTCTAAAAATAACAAAAAAATATTACAAAATATAATTTTAATCAAAATAGAATATTGTGCTAAATTTGAAAAAATT